GAGAGAGGCCGCGCCGCTCACCGCGAGGGAGAAAAGTAACTTCCTTCAGGGTTTCGGAGGGAAAAGAGGGCAGTTGAAAGCACTTCCCTGTTGAAAGCTCAGATTTAAAGCAATCAGATCCGCTCTAACTCAGCGAGAGATGCCTTTGTAAAAAGCCATTCCACAAGCTGTTTAAAAACTCACTGATACCGGTTTTTACAAAGTCTCTTCAGGCATTTTAAAAACTAAATTTAAATGCTTTTAAAATGTTAATTGTATCTTACTTTAAACCCAGGCCAGTATTTCTCTATACTGGGGGAGCTCCCTGGAGGGTCCCTTAAGTTAAGCAGTGTGTGTGCGCGTGTGGGCACTGTGGGCACGTGTGCAATATGGTGTGTGTGTGTGTGTGTATGTGTGTGTGTGTGTGTATGTGTGTGTGTGTGTGTGTGTACGGAGTGCCTGTGGGTTTGTGCGCGTGTGCATGTGATGCGTGCACGGGCAGTGTGGTGCGTGCTCCGGCTGTGCAGTGTGTGCAGTGTGTGCAGTGTGCGTGCGTGTGTGTGTGTGTACATGTCACTGTACTGGAGAATGAAATAAGCAGTGTGTCCCGTTCAGTGCAAAACATCAAACGGGTACGGACTTGTATGATTAAAATTTAAGATCTGAATAAATTAATTTAAAAAGTTAAGATCTGTAACTGTACTGATGTTCTTTTAGTTTTTAAGTACAAAGTGAGTTCAGTTTGTAAGGCTAAAACAGAGCAAACATCAGCCAATTTCAGCAGAATTGAACCTGGCACGTGTAACGACCTACACGTTCCGTTCATTTAGCACCAACAGTGGTTCGTGTCGTCCTTCTCCTCACGGTCAGATCAGAGAGTCCTGGGGTCGTGGGGTCGTGGGGGCGAGGCGGGCGGCGGGCTCCCTCCCTCCCTGCGCCCGCACCCACTGTAACGACAGCGCTTGCGGGAGGGGGGGAGGCGGTACCGGGAGCCTCGTTCCGGCTGAAACCGGGAGCGGCGGGCGATGCTCCCTGCAGGAGACGCCTTAGGGGCGGGGTGAGCCGAGCTAAGGGGGAGACCCGAGAAAGGACCGGGGAAGAACTTTCCTTCTCTTTGTTACCAGGGACGCCTCGGGTGCGGGCCTGCCGGCTTCCCGCCTGGGGTGCCCGCGCGCCGCACCCCCGCACCGGCACCAGCGGACGCGGCAGCACCGCCACCCCGGGCACGTGCCCGCGCACCCCACCCGCCCGGGGACCCGCCGGGTGCAGCCCCCAGAGGCGCCGCACGTCGGAAGCGGCAGCCCCCACCGGGTCCCGAGGGCGCGCGGGGCGGAGCGGTGGCCCGAGCAGCTCCCACCTCGGTGGACAGAGCCGGGGCGGGGGCCCCTCGGGGGCTCTCCACCTCCCCGACCCCTGCGGGCCAGGCGGGCGATTCCTGCGGCAGCCCTGGGGCGAGCCGCACGCCGCCGGACTGCGGCCCCTCCGACTTCCTACCTGTGTCCCGGAGCGCCAGGCGCGCGGGCTGGCGGGGCCGCTCCATCCGTACCCGCCCCGCCCAGCCCCGAGCTCGGCCTGGCCACGCAGAACGCACGCGGAGGGTGGACTTGCTCTCCCCCGGGCTGGCTGGTTTCCTCCCGCCCCATTTCCCCCCCACCCCATCCTCGCCCCTGCTGACACCCGTCCCGATCCCGGGGTGCGAGCATGCCCCCCGCGGAGAGGCCGCC